ATATGCGGACCTTCCTGAGCCTGGCGGAGCAGGAATTTCGGGAAATGAAGATCGCGGAGGCCCAATGGGGAGTACTGATACGCAAATATCTAACAGGTCGCGCCGCTAGACAGTGGAATTTTGTAGTTAGATCCGGAATAGATATGACAGACTGGCCACTTGTGCGTGACAGACTTTGCGAAAGGTTCCGCGGGTTACCGCGGGAAATCATGCTAAACCAGATGAAAGAAAACGAGTGGACTGGCGATTATAACGAATATTGCAATGAGTTCTCGGACATAGTAACCAATGGAGAAGAAATGCCCGAACACGATCTGATTCTGTACTTCCTCGCCGGATTACCAACGGACGTCGGAGACGAACTGACCAACAAAGGCAAGAGGAAATTTTCGACATGGAACGAGGCTGCAGATGCGTTGAGATCATACATGGTCCCATTCAAATTGTGGAGGGCACAGAGAAAACGTGCGATACAGGAGCTGCAGGGCGCAGAGAAGCCGAGACCTAAGCGCGGGAGTTACTTCAGGGAATACGGAGAGGGGAACAGACATCACAACGATGACGTTCACAGCGTCAACCGCAAAACCTACTCGACGGGGAGAATGGCGATGGACGGGGAAAGAGACACAATCCGTTGTTTCGAGTGCACAGGGCAGGGGCACATGGGAAGGGAATGTCCCTTGCGTAACGGCGTAGCAAGACGGAGAGGCGAAACTTGCTCGAAATGCGGCGGAAAGGATCATTATGCTAGGGATTGTGCAACGAATCGTCGAACAACGAACGGCAATCAGCGGGTCATTACGGCAATGAACACAGAATCGCGGGAGGGAGATTCACGGTTAAACGAGAAGGCCTAGGCATTGGGGGAGAGAAATGTCCTAGGCCAGAACGAAATAATGGCAGGGCGCACCTAGTAGCGTCGGGACCGAATGCCATTAAGATCTCCACATCTGCAAAACGGAACGATCAGGCGAGCGGCGGGAACGAAAGCCGGAGGCACGGGTCACCGACGAGCGGGATCCAAACTCATGGGAACGGGAACGGAACCAACGAGGGCACATCTCGTGCGGGACGTGACGAGGTAGATCAGACAGGTCAAGAAGAATATCTTATACCCCCGTGGCTTTGGACAGAAGAGTGTACAGCGGGACAACAGCCTTACGGAACTCTGTGCAGAGTCTGCAGCGGCGGCAAAACAGCGGTCTTGAGGTTGGAGATACTCGGTTATCAGTGTGAAGGTCTTTTGGACACAGGGGCGTCAAGAAGTTTTATTCAACCGACCATCGTCAAGAAATTAGGACTGAGAACGAGAGCACTGACAGAGGAATATTCCTTCACAGTGGCGAACGGAGAAGTTATTAGGATCTATACGGAGGTCCCGAGGCTGACGATAATTTGTGGGCGCGAATGCTTCACGGGCAACTTTCTAGTAGGCCAGGTACCCTATGCAGTCATTCTCGGGATAGATTGGCTTGACAAG